AACTAAAGGACTTCCGTCCAAGGTCTTTCATGAGCATGTTGCTCACATGGGTGTTTTACAGTTTGAGGAATTTGAGGTTTAGTGGGAGTTAGTCACTTTCATATATTTTATGTTCTATGTTTAATTTCATATATGTATACATTAATTTTTTGGACATATTTAGTTATCTATAGATATGCGGTTTTTTCGTTCATTCATTACATTTTGTACATTAAGGATATTATATCAATCTCGATAAGTTAAAGTTTGGACCATTTGAAAATAGACATGTACAGATCACCTTCACGTAATTTTTCATGCTACACATTTCATGATGAATCCATGTCATTTGGTTATGTCAGGATGAGTAATCATTATTGGTTTTAGTTGTGATGATGCAATGAAAAGCTAGTTTGGTTTATATCCTGATATGATTAATGGGCAAGACTTTTGGAGTATGTTAAAGAAATATAATGACAATTTTGAGCTCATAAAGTCTAACACATTTGTAAGGTTGTAAAGACATATATATTTGTGACCAGTGGGAGATTATTGGCAAAATTTGGGTCATGTATATATATGATACATAATTTAAATGTGTTAGGACCATTATTTATTAAGCCAAATAATAAAGTGATCTGACTAAATTAAAGTTTTGGCTAAAGACATATGTCATAAAAATAAAATTGTGTAGAGACCATAGAGTAATTTCTAATTTGATGAGGGACAAAATTGGAAATACTAAAACTTAAGTAATTAACCTAATTCTGGTTATTTAAAGGGTCATGGTCCCCTTCTGGGAGCACACACACACAGAACGTAAGTATCAGTCCCGTTCCTTTCTTTCTATCCCCATCAAGAGAGAAAATCAAGAGGAAAATATAGGTGTTTTTCAGGTAAAAGACCATAAGATCAATATAGTGCTCTACAAAGACATCATCATTATGACTAATTTAGGTATGTTTTCGCATTCAGTTTACATCATGTTAATTAGTATGAGATTACATTTATGTTTGATAGTTAGAATAAAAATCTGGATTATAATTATTAGTTTTCCAACATATTACACCAACAATCTCAAGGACTACACATGTTAGTTTTGTAAGTGTTATCCATCATCAATATTAAATTAAATGCATTAAATAATTGGACAGAATGAGGATATGTCTAAAAAATATTTGTACTCTCATCAAACACATGTCACTAAATATAAGTCTTGCTTAAATAACTTTATTAGTTATTGCATTTCAATTCTATGACTTATTACATTTCTAGGATATATGTATCTTGCATTATACACTTGTTTTTATCTTTGTTACATTATTTTCATTATTCTCCTTCAAGGTAAGTATAATATTTTTAGGCTTCACTAAACTATTTGTCATATTAACAAACATGAGCTTTTCAATACTTTTTAATATACTAGGAGATAAATGACCCATTAACGTATTAGTTAAGTCGTGATTATGACTTGCACAAACTAATTTCACAAACCATCTTTTACCATTTTTTATAGTTTTTTCCCCATAGTTTAAAGGGACATTCACATTTTCTACCCCTTGTAACAATTGGATGCAAATCTTTCTTGTACTTCCCATATTTATCACCTTTTTCACAACCTAATAATACATATGTTTTCCTTCCTTTATGGTCATTTATTGTATTTGATATAATAATCTCAAATTCAAACCTAAGCACAACATCTCAAGTTCATTTCAGCAAATCATCCTATGTAACAAATACCTACAACAATAAATATAAAATCATTACATATGACATTTATAATCTATAATAAAAAAAAATAACTATATAAATAAAATTTTATATCATTCGTTGAGAAAACGTTAATACAATCAACTAAATTATAAAGAATATGTTCCACTATATCAATATTATTCAAATCTATTAACATGTTAACTTTATTTGGCATATTATTTTAAAAAAAAATCTTTCTCCATTACATACATGGAACCACGTCAAATTTTGAAATTATTAGTACAGAGTATCATCTTGTTTCAAGAATATTTTTCAGATTGCATATTCTAAAATACATTTTTAGATTTAGGGTTTAGGTTTAGTATATTAATGAATATACAATCTAAATTATACTTATAAAATATGAGTTTTGGAAAATATTTATAGACAACCTTCGTGTTTCTGAAAACATATTTTAAATTAGATAATCTAAAACAAAATTATAAGTTATAAATTATCCAATCCAAAATTATTTCGAAAATAAAGATACAAAAATAATATTTATTTTTTGTGTTAAAGTTATAAAGATTAAGAACGGTTCAAAAATCACACTTAAAATTGTCCCTTCTTAATATAATGTTAATCCTTAGAACATGGAAGAAAACAATAAAAAAAATAGAATTTATTTTAATTATAAAATTACTCATAAAATTCATCGAAATCTAGTAAAAAACATTATAAAAGACAAAAGGGTTCATGGTTCAAAGTTGCCCATTAAGGTTAATAAAATTAAAAAAAATAAAAATAAAATGAAACTTCACTCCAGCGGTGTCCTCACTCTCCCAATATTTTAGTATATTCTACGAGCTATTGAATCACCTATTTATACTTGACAATATTTTGAAATATTCTAACATATTCTAGAAACTACTAAACCACCAGTATATATATATATATATATATATATATATATATATATATATATATATATATATATATATATATATATATATATATATATATACACTAATTCATAACTTTTCTATGACATAAGTTAACAAATATTATCATTAAATTAAAAATCGTTTAATTTATACTACTGTTAGATGTGAAATATTTATACACATACAAATATACAATTTTATATTATTATAAACTATACATTTTGTAGTTTTTTATTTTTTTACTTTTTATCAAACATAATCATAATTTCTTAATATTTCATTAAATAATATTATTTTTAATGAAATATTCTGAAATAAATTAAAAAAATATTTATTTAAAATCCTTTTATTATGTTAAAATAATAACAATATTTTACTGATAAACCCCCGATGACTTAAGTTAGTTTTGTCCCGTCTTCCAATAAAATTTGTCTCAATCTGGATGGGTTTTTGGACAAGCTTTCATATGGTGGACCATTATTTTTATATATTACAAATGTTATTAAAATATTGAATGGTGAAGATTAATTTTTTTCTTTTATTAGAATAACCATTTTAGACATTTTTAAAAATCTGTGCTTGTTCATGTTTTAGTCTTCACAATTTGTTGTAACAATTTTGCATATACCTTTCTTAAAAGGTTGGATATCTTTTATGAACTTGTGATCAGAGAAAGAAAAATAGGATTGAAGGAATCATTAAGATTGATTATAATAAAATATAATAAATATTGTTTATTTCACCTTTTGTTATTTTAATATTTTATTTCAACCAAGGACCACATCACCTACCAAAATTATCATCGATCCCAATATTTTTTTTTTTTTTTTACTTCCATGAGGAGACAAGAGCCCAAACATAAGATTTTTAATGTTTGATAATAAAAACTTAACCCTTATCACTATTTAATGAAAGTTTTCATTAATTGTTCAGTTTTTAAGGTATAAACTTAAGAGAATCAAAAGGTTTAATTTTGAAAAAAATGGATGCAGAAAACATAATCACTGTACACACAAAGCATACCCTCTGCATGGTGTCCAACTGTTTATCAAAATGTAGGAAAATCCATGACACTTGGAGGCACTTTAAGGTGATGGTGTGATACATCGAAGGGAAGAAAATCACATGTGACTGTGTGACTCTGAAATATGTTGAACACTGAGAAAAGGGAAAACCGTGATGATTCAGATGCAAAACACTGCATAAATAGGTGAAGATAGTATTCAAAGCACACTATAAAGAAAGTGAAGAAAACACCGCCAGAGGAGAGTCAAGGAGGAAGAAGACTTGGTGGTGGATTTTCATCCGTCAAAGATAAGAAAGATGAGTTTATTTTCAAAATATTTGCTTATTTTTTTTCTTCTCATCTTCAACTATTGAAGTTAAGAAAGATTCATGAGTTTATTTTCTAAAATATTTACTCATTAAATTTTATTAATTTTTGCTTCTGATAATACATTTATTGTTTGAAGAGTTATATATTACCAGTTTTCTTACGACATAAATGTAATAGAAGTAGTTTATGTTTCATGAATATATATAAATATAATTATTATCATGCATGAAGATATATATTTTTTTTATTATGAGGTTTAATATACTTTTGTTAAAAAAATTATTCTTTTAGAAGTAATTTTTTTCAGTTATTTAAATATTAATAATTTTATAATTATTTATTAAAAAAAAATTCATTATAGTTTTTTCATCTTTTTATTTATTTTTACTTATATGTAAATTTTACATAAAAATTGTTGTCAACATAAATATTTTTATTGATTTCTTAAACAAAATCCAGTGAAATATTTGTTTATTTTTGAATTGTTCCAATCTTTTTGAACAATTTAAAAATTAAATTAATATATATTTTAAAAAAGAAACTTTATATAATAGATTTTAATAAAAAAAATGAACAATAACATCACAATGCCATTGTATATGAAGTTGTTTTGAACCATTCTGAAGTTTTTTTTTTTATTATTATTGAACTTAATTTACGATTTGACTTCTATTATTTTGGCCAGAGAGATGAATTATAAATGGTTGAAAGGCAAGATCTTACATCTCCAATTCTCATTTCTTTAACCACTGAAATGATTTTTATTTTTATATCTTACATCAAAATATATTCTTTTAAAATAATTATCTTACTGTATGTTATTTTTTTAAACCTAAATTTATTCTCTTTTAAATTATTTATTCATATCAACATATATTCAAAACTTGTTACATTACAATTAATATTTATTTTCTTCCACTTGTTACAAATATCAGAACTTTGTAGTTGTTCAAGAGAAAAGAAGAAAGAAGACAAAAAAAAAGGAAGAAGAAAGAAGACAAAAAAAAATCAGCATGGAGATATGGAAGCTTTTTGTGATTGCATTAATGCCAAATCTGAAAGTACTGTTGATCACTGTTCTTGGCTCTTTCCTTGCCATTAATCGACTCAACATACTCAGTACATCTGCCATTGACAGCATGAACACTGTAACGTTCTTCTCTGTCTCATACACCTTATTCTTTTTTCTTCTTCTTTTTAATGAGATTTTTCTTTAATTTTTAGATCTAATAAATATATTTATAAATCAAATAAAAATATACATATTAAAAAAAGATTGATATAAGCATAAACACATATTTGAATTTCTTTGCAGATGGTGTATTTTGTGTTTTCTCCTGCTCTTGCTTGTAGCAGCCTGGCCAGTACCATAACTCTAAAGAGTTTGATTGCATTGTAAGTTTACCCTAAACCATAACTCCATTGTTTTGTTTCAAGAATTCAAGCATGTGTTTATTAAAAAAATTCTACAAATTTAATATTTTAGATTAAAACTGATACTATATTATTATACTGAAACCACGTTTAAAATTTGTCAGTTTAATTTGATGAATAATATTATTATGCAGGTGGTTTATGCCATTTTGTATAGTTGTGACAGTTATAGTTGGAACAGCACTTGGATGGTTACTTGTTAAAATAACAAGAGTTCCTTATCATCTCCGAGGGCTTGTGTTGGGATGTTGTGCTGTAGGTATGAACTTTATTTTCTTCATCTTTTATTAAAAAATATATATAATTTTTTAAATTTAATTGTGTGATCTTAACTGGAGTTTGATTTGTGCAGGAAATATTGGAAACTTGCCTTTAATGGTAGTTTCAGCCATCTGTAAGGAAAAAAGCAACCCATTTGGAGATGAACATTCTTGTCACGAAAATGGAATGGCATATGCATCTCTTTCATTGGCAGTATGTAATTAACTTTCTAAATTTCATTCCAATTTTTTTTACTTTTTTTTTTTTACCATATTTCTTCCTTTTCAGCTAGCATCTATTTTAGTTTGGTCTTTTGCATACAACATTGTGAGGATATATTCAAATAAAGAGGTCTCCAGTGTCGACAAAGTTGTTGAATTAAAGGAAAATCCGACGTTGGCATCAGAAAGTGATCCAAAAACCATGTCAAATGCTAACAATTCTGTGGATCAACATGAAATTGAAACCTATATACTGCCAAATGGTAAAATCAAGGTACGTAGAACATTTCATTTTATGTTTTGGTTCTTAAGGTTACATTTTTTGAAAAAAAAAAAAATTGCAACAATTAGAACTTTTTTCAAACTTAAAACAAGTAACATTTTTTAATGTCCTTAAGTTATGTAAAATAATTTTAAAGTAGAGTCATTTTGAAATGCAAAGAATAATTAGCAAGTACATCTTTACCATCTAAAATGTTGACCCTTTAATTCTAGCATGTGGATTTAAGTTTTTTTTTCTTACTATCATCAAAATTTAAATTTGGTCATTTCTTTGCATTTCTTGGGCGAATTTGACTTTTTACTATTTTAATTATGCAATTTCGTTTAATCTGTTTGTTTTAATATTGAATGTTAAAAAGATAAAATAAAATCGTATAATAATCATATTAAACCTAAAAAAAATTATTTATATAGTGTAGGCTTGAATGGAATAATAAAAATTAATGATTGGTATTTTTTCATTACATATTTTCAGATGGTTACCCTATTCAATATTGTGGAGAAGAAGAAGTTAATGCAATACCTAAAGATAATATTTCCTCCTACGTTGATTGGAGCGGTATGCCAATAATTTTTTTTTCCTCATTAGACTTATTATTTATAGGAATATTATATTATATTTTTTTATATAAGTATTTTTAAATATTTTTATTCATTGCAAAAATTTAACAAATATGTCAGTAATATTATGTTGTACATGCAGCTATTTGGTTTGATAATTGGTGTAGTTCCTCAATTTAAAAATTTATTTATCAGTGGAAGTGGTCCTCTGTATGTGATTCAAGACTCTATAATTATGATAGGGTAAGAATCTTGATGCTTCTAAACACCATCATTTGTGTATATTAAGTTGAAAAGAGAAAAGGAAAAACCTAATTTCACTGAACTTTCTCCTCTACTTGGTTTATAGGGATGCATGCCTCCCAGCAATGACCATGTTGGTTGGAGCAAATCTTCTTGAAGGTGTTTATATATATATATATATATATATATATATAATAATCAATAACATGAGTTTTTCAAGTTTTTATCTAATTCATCTTTGGATTGTGAGATAAACTTGCTGTTTCAAATTTGGATGGTTCTCAGGTTTGAAAGGAGAAGGAGTGAAGTTTTCACTTATTTTTGGCATCATTGTGGTGAGAAATATTGTGTTGCCAGTTCTTGGAGTAGCCACTGTGAAAGGTGCTATTCATCTTGGCTTGATCCATCATGATCCGTTATATGAGTTTGTGTTACTGCTTCAATTTGCTCTTCCACCAGCAGTGGCTATAAGTGAGTTGTTTCTGAAATTTAATGAGTATGTCTTATTATTTCCTATTCACATGGAAATGATATTTATATATCATTGTCTGTCAGGTACATCTGCTCAATTGTTTGGATCAGGGAAGGGTGAATGCTCAATTATTATGCTTGCAACTTATTCCTTTGCAGCAGTGTCCCTTACTCTTTGGTGCACTTTCTTCATATGGCTTGTATTATAGTTACATTTATTAGATTGAAAAAACAAAAATAAAATTGCAACAAATAATGGGTGATAACTCATAGAGGACACAATGCTGTATAATTTATTGTATGTATTTCTGTGCTTTCCATTGAAACTTTATATTGATTAGATGTATGGTTATGTTAGTTCATTTTATGAGGAGAAGATTTCTTACAAGATAAATGGGTATAATCACATTGAAATTTTATATTGATTAGATTAATAGTTAATTTAGTTTATTTTATGATGAAAAGATTTCTCACGAAAAGGTATAATAATATTAAAATTTTATATTGATTAAATATATATGGTTAACTTAATTCATTCTATGTACGATAAAATCTCAAATCAATTAAAGATATAATGAACCAATTAAAGATATAATGAACGAGTATAATACAATATTTTTTTAAAGATGAAAAGATATGATAAAATTTCAAATTAATTAAATATATGATAATATTATAATATATAGGTGAATATATTTCTTGAATCAACATTTTTAAAATGGTATCCGAACCGATTTAAGTGATATTGGAACATGAAAAAAAAAAATTTTAACGAAGGGGTGTAATAAAAACAAGAAGGTATAATGAAATCTTGCATCTATTATAAATACTATAATCAGGTATAATTTTTAACTTTTTAACTTGTTTTATATAATTGAGTTACATGTCTTATATTTTTAAGATTTTATAAATTGATTTTTTTAAAATAAAGCTAGAGATACATGTGATATAAGCGTGAATTCTATTATATCGTGACATTGTACCATTTATTATCTATCGATTATTGAAATATATCCCAGGATTACATATACTCTCTATGCAAGGATATATAAATTGATGATCATACGAGATGTAATCCTTATAAAGTCATTTTATAAAATTATTCGGTTGTAAGTCAATTTTGTAACATGTTTCTTGTAATTTATTGGTAAATGTTTCATTGTTAAAAGAGATGAAAATTAGAGAATATATATATTAAAACAATTTTCACAAATATCTTATTTATAAAACTCTAGTGAATTATATTTTAAAAATAATAATTAATATTGTAAAACATATCCAGTTTATCCACGCTTCAGGAACCGTTGCGAAAGCATGTATGTGGACATCTTAGACCAGTTCAACATCACTTAACATTTTTCATTTTTAAATTATTTGATGAAATCTCATGTTACTTTCAAGAAATAATTATATTAATGGAATGGGCATAGGATTTTATCCATTGATTTATAAAAGTGTTATAAAAACATACAAGAGTGTTCTTATGGCTTTTCTGTGAAATATTTATTCACCTTATGATCCATAGTTGTCCATTTAATAGTTTTTTACAAATATTTCTGTATTTCTTTTTATTATTAGTGTTCATGTAATTGAACAGCCAATACCAACAAAATTGGCTTTAAATGGTTTCATAATTGGAAGTAATTCCAATAACAAATACGAATGGACAACTTCTAAAAATAAAACATTCATAATATATTACCCTTTGTAATAGTTAACTTTTAGATTATTAAAAAAAACACTATAATTAACTTTTTATAATATTTTGGAAATATTTTCAATTTAAATAAGAAAAATCAACAAATGACCCAATTTATCACTCAGAAGCCATTGTATTGACATGTAAATAATTGTGATCAGATTAGAGAAAGATCAACATGATAGTTATTAGTATTACAACTTCATTTGGAGTGTTACAATTTTCATAAAAAAGTTGAAGACAAAAAAATAAAAATAAAAATCCAGAATATGGATTTTTGGAAGCTTTACATTGTTGCATTTACATCAATTCTGAAACTTTTGTTGATAACTGTTCTTGGGGCATTCCTTGCTCATGATCGATTTAATATACTCAAAGAGAATGCCAGAAAGCACGTCAATGGTGTAAGTATACTTTGTTTGGGGTTTCATAGTTTCCTGGACAAGTTTTTTAAATCTTAGAAAATTGAAAATATTTTTCTTGCTACTGTGTATAAGCAATTTTGTCGTAACTGATATGATTGACAATAAATCATACGAGTGTTTGTTTTTTGGTTTGATTTTTTTTATATACAGATGGTATATTTTGTCTTCACGCCTGCTCTTATCTATAGCAGCATGTCTAATACCATAACCTTGAAGAGCATGGTTATTTTGTAAGTTTGTACTTTCTCACTATTCCCTCCATTTTGATTCCATGTTTTGTATTGACATTTGAAGGTTTATGCTGAGTTTGATCTCTTGAATTATGCAGGTGGTTCATGCCAGTAAGTATTTTTGTAACATATATTGCTGGCACATTACTTGGATGGTTACTGATCAAAACAGTTAGTGTTCCTCCTCATCTGCATGGCCTTGTATTGGGATGCTGTGCTGCAGGTACTCGTTTTGTCTCTCACATATGATATCAGGTTCGCTTTACCATGTTTAAAGTTTTATCCCCTATAGAACTCTATTCTACATAATAGTTTTATCCTTAAAAGACACTCAATAACTCACAAGGATGCTAACATAAATATTTCGAACATAATAAAGGACTCTAACGATGTTATCATAGTGAATACGATACCGGGACATGTTCGTTCTTAGTCGAGCACATTAATTTTGACTCTTTTAAGTAAAATGAGATAACCAATATGTAAATGTGATGTAACAAGGATATTTTTATTTATAATTGGTTGTTGAATCTAAATTCATAATCACAGAGATAGTTAAAGATTAGATTTAAGTAAAATAATTCCAACCATTATATAAATAAAATGAACCATGGTTTGAATGCTAAATAAATGTGTATATATGACCTTTTGGTGTTTGATGTGGGTAGGAAATCTGGCCAGTTTGCCTCTTACCGTAGTTCCAACTATCTGTAAAGAAGAAAACAATCCTTTTGGAGATGAAGCTATTTGCCACAGAAATGGACTTGCATTTGCTTCTCTGTCAATGGCTGTATGACAAAAGATTTGGATTTTACTACTTTGTGCATCACACAATGGAGTTGGGGTTTTTTGAATTATTCTAAACTTTTTCCTGTGTTTCTGGTTTTTCAGGTTGGATACACTTATGCTTGGTCTTTTACATTCAACATTGTTCGTATATATTCACCCAAGATCTCCAATGTAGTCAAGGTTGACGAATCCACTGTAAATCCAAAGTCTGCAATAGAATCTGACCCAGAAAACCTTTTAAAAAGCTCTTGTGGAGAATTGATCATGAATGGGGGGGATACAGCAAAGCCTAATGGTGGCATGGATCAACCTGAATTTGAGTGTAAAGTGCCTAATGGACAAGCAAAGGTTGTTTAGTAGGATAGATAAAAGTAAAAAGGATAATAAGATTGACGTGTAATATAGCATGAGTTCATATCCTAAGATTTTATGTAAGTGGTGCCTAATATTTTTCAAGACTTTTACAGGTACCAGGAAAGTTGAAGTTTATGAAACAGTTGAAACTATTAGCTGAGAAGATCAACAACATGAAGATACTAATTGCTCCTTCCACTATGGCAGCAGTATATGTCCTTAATTCTGCTATTAGTTACAAAAGGAGGCTTTAATCACCATTATTTGTTAAAATTTCATTTAAAAATATCAATGGTATTTAGACCAGAAACCAACTTAGCCTTGTGCCACTTCTGTGACAATGGAATGTGATGAAACATATTTAGTTCCTCCTAACAATTGCACTTCCTTTTACTTCTGTGTATGCAGATTATGGGTGTGACAATTGGTATTGTGCCTCAGTTTCGAAAACTGCTAGTTGGTGACAATGCTCTCCTTCATGTGGTTCAAGACACTTTGACCATGCTGGGGTGAGTGACCTCTACCACAAGAAATTATTGTATGGTCAAGCACCACCACGTGTCCATGATCATGTAATAATTTCTTCTCTACCGTAAGTTTGAGTCATACACACTAAAATGTACAATGAAGTTATTTGGTCGTATAATATTTCGTGTCACTTCCTTCTGGTTTTCAGGGATGCAAGCGTTCCAGCAATGATTTTACTGCTTGGGGCAAATCTTGTAAAGGGTAACAACATGGAATTTTTAACTTGTTCTTCTTGTCTCTGGGGTTGAGTCTCCAATGTAGTGTTTATATTTGAAAATGTGATGGGGACATAAATTGGATGTTTTTCAGGTTTGAAAGGAGTAGGACAACAATTTCCACTTATTATTGGCATCATCATGGTTAAATTTGTTGCCTTGCCGGCAATAGGAATAGGCATTGTTAAAAGTGCAGTTCATTTCAACTTGATCTACCCTGATCCACTGTATCAATTTGTTCTACTGCTTCAATATGCCCTTCCACCTGCAATAGTCGTGAGTAAGTTGTTTACGATAATTACACAAAAGTATAATAGTTTTTTCTGTTACCTTTATGAAGTGAATTCACTTAGATACCTTATAGTGAGTAGTAACCTATCTCCAAAGGAACTGAAACAAAAGGGCAAGAGTAATTGACTGTGACATCCAACAATGTTGAACAAGTAATATAATTGAGATTCATAGCAAAACAAACTCCAATGGTGCCAACAACATCACACGCTCAAAAACTATTGTTTTGTCTGAAAAGATATTTCACTAATATTTGTTCATTGCTATCTTGACACTAGGTTGTTGCAGAGTATTTCAAAGAGACATTTTGTTTTCATGGCAATCTGAATAATGAAGCTTATGAGTATTGACAAGATTTGAGAAACTAAATGTTCAATTTATGATTGTTGCAGGTACAATTACTCAAATGTTTGGAGTTGGTGAGGGTGAGTGCTCAGCTATCATGTTAGCAACTTATTCCTGTGCTGCAGTTTTGCTTACTCTTTGGTGCACATTGTTTATGTGGCTTGTACTGTGACTATTTTCATTGTCTTCTGATGATTCACACATGCCTCATTGTCAACTGCATTTAAGGACCCAAAATTGACATAGTTTGGCTAAAGTATGACCGCTAGAAAAGGGACAGAGATTTGAACGATGCAAAAAATATGGAAGACATACATGTCTTGACTTTGTGCTTCAATTAGATCTTAGTTACTCAAACTCTTGAATATTTTCTCTTCAATATTTTATTTGAATAATACGTGGTTGGCAAATTTATAAACATCCCCAGATCACTCATGTTTCCTTTGTGAACTGATATTCCGTTTTCATGTCTTACATGATATTATTGCTAGGATTCATTATCACATATCAAATATTTTTGTTTTGGAATTCTAGTCTATAACAATTACGAAACTCTACTATTCACTATAAATTATAGTGAATGTCAATGTTTTGTATAAGAGTAAAAATGTTTTGATTTGATGTATAATATAATAATATTGTTAGGACATTACCACATTCAAGTTATTTTTTTCTTTAGAACTTTAACTTATTACTGTTTTGTCTTTAAAATATATTTTAGTGGATTAAAAGATAAAAATATATATAAATTAGCATTCGATTCAACCTCTAAACTATACTAAACTAATGAGTACTACTAAAACAAATTAAGTAAATTTGATGAGGTTAAAAATATGATTGGACAAACTTTTTGACAAAGACTTCTAATAAAAAAGAATAAAAATTTAGAAAATTATTAGAAAGATATTCTTCCAATCAATTTATATATAAACTAATTTTAATTTATATAAAATTTACCTTTTCTTTTTATATTTCTTTAACTTAAAAATGTTTGTAAAGAAATTTGTCCAAACAAATATTAAAATTCGATCTTTTAAAAAATTGCGTAATACAATTTTTTTCATATAAAGTATACATTATTTTATTTTTAAGTGATTCAATTTTAAATTTTTTTTACTATAGCTCTTATTAAGAACAACTTCAATAAGAGTTGTTTATGGTCAAAGTTGCTTATAAGCAACGATACTTACAAGAAATTGTTGTTAGAGCAATCCGATGCGGCAACAACAATTTTGAAAAGTTAAGCACCGCATCTTATAGAAACAACGTTTCTAAGAGTTGTTTTTCCCAATTTTTTTCAGTTTGTTCCTACAACAGAATTCAACAAATCAGAGAATACAATAAATCAGAGAGGAATGTTTACCTGAAGGTGGCTCGCTGGTGCCTCACGGAGGTAGGCTCCACCTTGAAGTTGGAGCTCCTCCCTCCATCTGAACTTCCACAAAAATATTTAATTAAATAAAAATTAAATATATTATTTATTTTATTTTAATAATTAGTTATATATTATAATTATTACTAACGTGGTATAACGGATCCCATTAAAGTCAAAAGTGGTAGTTGAATGGTGAATTGCTTATAAGAACCCATTATTAGAGTGAATTTGTAAAAATTTGAAGAAAGTTGCTTAAATATGATATGACATTGTGGGTCTCATTTAAGAACCAAAGGTGAGTTCTTATAAAAACTCACCATTAGAGATACTCTAAGAAGTTTTTTAAACTCATACATATTTTCAGCATTTCTTATTCTTATTGGCTTTTCTCTGTTTAATGCAAGCATTAGGAATACTAAAATGGGTCAACATGTCCCGTATTGACTTGTTCCGTTTCTAGTTCACAAAAAATAGGTGGAACAAGCTAACTTGTCATAATCAAGATGGTTTACAAACTTCAATTTACCGTATCAAAGGATGGGTTAGCCTACCAATTTTTTTATATGTAAATTTTTTATAGTTATTTTTAAAAATATATATTTAATTATATAAATAATTTTTTAAGTTTTTATATATTAATTAATATTTTTATTAAATAAATTAAAAAAATTACTATATTTATGTTTAAAAATAATTAATTATAATCAATAATTTAAATTTAATTGATTATTTTTTTATAATTTAAATTATAATATTATAATATATTTACAACGTGACAAACAAAATATAATATTTTTAATTATAATATTTTTTATTTTAATTTTAATATATAATTTTTTTTAAGTGGACAAACGGATCAATCAGACTCAACCCACCCTTTCATTGGGTGGTGAATTAGGTGGAATAGACAAGAAATGAATTAATGAACTAAAATTACTAACCATATCTTTTATTTAAACTGACAAACTGATCCATCAAACATAATATTTTTGTCATCGTTGACAAATGTTATCTACATTTTTATTTTTTATTTTTTTAATTTAAATAGCTCAAAATTTGTGCCACACATGTTTTATAAACCATCTAAATAATTTAATATACCCAGTCAATTTTCATTGGAAATATTCTAACATACATTGGTTATGGCCTTGTATGAACATCATATGAGAACATTTTAATGTAAATTTTTTAAAATACCAATAAAGCACATTTTTACTAGGACTAGATTGATGAATCAATATATGATTGTAAAATGAAATGCAATATTGTAAGATAAATTTAGATTTAAATATATTTATATTATTTTTGTTGTATTTTGTTTGGCAAGAATAATAATTAAATAAATTTATTTAACCTCCATTTGTTTTTGTAAGCGGAATTAGAAAAAAATGTAACAAAACTTACTTTTTCGAAATATAATAAATGCACTAGTTTTAATATTTTTAAGATTACTTGTTTCCTCTCTCAATAATTAAAAATATGAGATATATTAATTAAGTGCAAAATTGGTAATATATTATATTAGTAAATATATCACATGTCTACATGCTATAATTTTTTTAAAATAAATAGTTTTTTAACATGAAAATTAATAGTGATAAATAATTCAAAATATTAAAATAATAAATACAATTATTAAAAATAAATATATTTTATTTTTTAATTTTTTCTATTTTTTTCCGTTAATAACCTCATTTTTTTCTTTTTTTGTTTACTCACGAATCAGTCTCTAATCCAAACAAAAAACATAGTTATTGATTTAACTTATTATTATTATTTTAATAGATTTTGACTTTCATGATCAATTGTTACACACTCACTTTACAATATATTCCAATCCAAAAGATACATCAACAGAGACACATAAATTGCTAATATATCCCTTCGGAATTTGCACAAAACACCTTTCTCTCTCTTTATCTCTCTCTCTCTCCATCATGCACACAAGACTGCTTTAAGCAAGAGGCCAGTTGAAGGCAAGAATCTAGCAAAGAAATAGGAAAAGAAAAACAAAACAAAGAATACCTTACTTTCACCAAACAAACATATATACTCATTTCCTATTCATATATATATATATATATATATATATATATATATATATATATATATATATATATATATATATATATATATATATATATATATATTGGTCTTATCATAAGCTTTTGTGGTCATAATAAACTCATTTTCATTCTCAAAACACAAACACATCATGGGAATGGTTACCAGTTACATGGGAGGCACAGGTCACAATCTCTTTCATTTTTCTTCCTTTATTTATTATTGCATGAGAATTCTAAGTTCTATTCATAATATTTTTTTATAATTATATTAATATTGACAGAAAATATCATCTACTAAGAACTAACAATTCTCTTAGTCATGTTAAAACATTGTTTTATCTTAAATTAATGGGTTTCATTGTGTTCTGTCAAATCAGGAGTTGAGGTTGCAACGAAAGGGATGAGTATGGTAACAGGAACGCTGTATGATAGGGTTATTGAGAAGAGAAAAATCGAAAACTTTAATGACTTTCACACTGCCATTCTTGATATATTCAAGTAAGCATGTCATTTCAATTCGTATCATGGAAAAAGAAAAGGAAAAGATGATAATTTGTTGATTCCTTTGATAGTTATTTAAAACAAAGCATATTAATGAGAAAGTAAAAATTGTTAAACTCATTAAAGAGAAATTTGATTAACCATTCCAAATCAATATGGTTATATAAGATGAGATTTAGTGATAGTTTGGAACAATTTTTTCACAGTGCAATCAACATGGCCTTGCCTGGTAAGCATTATGATGCACCACCACATGATGATATAAAGGTGAGTTAACTCTTCTTTCTGCAATTTGTGTTGAAGAATAAATCCACAATGCATGCATCCATTCCTCCTTATAACTGACATGTTTCTAACAAGCAGAAATGTTATGATGAATGGATTGGTGAATCTAATGATGCTAACAAGAAGGATGCTTTCACCAAATTCATCAAAGATTATGTGAATCTCAGCAAAGCAGATGAATCTATGATGATCACAGGGATTGTGGCTCCACCAGTTGCCATGGCAGTTAAGAAAACTGGACAAACTGTGCCCCAATTGAGTGTGATTAAAGCCATTCCTGATGTTGCGTTTGTTCCTGGAGCTACCATTTTGGCTCTCATTGCTATTAAGCTCACCAAAAGAATGGCATTCAAGAATATCCCTTCCATTGATCAAAAAGAGAATTCCCCATCCTAGCTTTTTCTTCTGTATATATTCATGTTTCATGTTGTTTCCAATGCAAATTATTGTGACATTCATAATATTGAACAAAGATGATCAATTTTAGTGCCAATTAGTATCTATGAAGCTCAGATCCTCTTCACAAAGCAATTTATATGACCTGAGAAATCACAGAATGTCATAACATGCAAATAGTCTCATCTGAGAATAAGGAAGGGATGATGATGTTGCATGATCAACAGTGTTAATCAAATTTTCTCAAGATTACACAAAAAGCATCTTCTGACATTTGTGCACCATGCACACATGGCTTGGTTTTGAATACCACTTTTTTTTTAAATGTCTTGTCTTTTTCAGAACATAAGTGTAGTTTAAGACTATACTTGGATTTTATACATACATTTTTTTTAAAATCTAAATATTTTTAAAATATGCTTTGTTTTAATTTATATATTGTTAGATGTTAAAAATATTTTTACAGGGCCTAATATACTCATCACCTATATATAATATAAGTTTCTCTTCTTACTTAAACATGTTGTTCTAAACCTACGTATCTGTTTTTATTATCCATTTGGTGTAAGTTCAATCCTATTTTTTCAAAATAGATAAAATTTGAAAAATTTAGATATATGAATAGATCGTGCTTGATAAAAGGTGGATTATCTAGCACAATTTATGTTAATTTATTTTTTCATATACAAGTGATTTTGTTTTTTTTTTTTTTTCTAAATAGCATTACGTAGCAAGATTTTAATATTTTTTACTAAAATCGTACTACATGTAATTTTTTTCTTTAATTATTATTCATACTTTAGTCATGTTACCTAAATATAGCACGACTTAATTTTTTTTACCTTTTTATATTTTAATTTAATTATAAAATAATATTAGATGTAATATTTTTTATTTACTATATTTTCATATTTAAATTTATATGTAAAAAAATAAAAATATAATAATAGTTAATAAAAATGATATAAGTTAATATTAAAAGTGAAAGATATATTATAATATTACTATTTATACGGATAATTATTACGATCTTCAATACAATAAAATGAACATTTATTTATTTATTTAGATTTGACCGATCCATTTACTAATTATTCACATCACATAATTGAGTCCGAAAATTTAATTGGATCAATAAAAGGAACCTAATAATCTTCATTTTATACTAGACGAAATTTATGCTCTTAAGTTTTTTAATATGCTTTAACATGTATATTGGAGTAGTATATATATCAATCTACAAATGACATGATCATCTTGTCTGTTACTCAACACTTCTAATAAAGGGAGGATCAATTGTATCGTATTATTCATCACGTACATGATCATCTTATTCATCAAAATCATGAACAATATCTCATCTGATTGATTTTTGTTCATTTGATGTTGAACTATAACTATCATAAAATATATTCATATTACAATGAATTTAAACACAATATTTTTCCAAACTTTGAAATGGGATAAGGTAAAAGTTTGAGTGATGGCTAAAGATTAGAACAGAGAATATTTATAAGAAATTTACCTCATTATCTTCTCAAATTTTTTTTATAAGACTTGTGTTTTGTACAAGTCTCCAGCCATAGTCACAATTATACTAAAATTGTGTTATGTAGGACAATTTTGTAATTGAAGACGTATTTGCTAATATGACTTCTTCAATGGTCAAAAGTTACTATAATTTTTTTTAGTGAATTTTGTGACATCTAAAACATTGTCACGAATTGTGCCAATCACACGAGATGTGAGGATGAAAAAAAATTGTGACCATATTAGTGAGAAAATAATGTTGTCACGGATTATGTTATCACAAAATCTATCACTCAAATAAATATTTTTTATTTGATTACAAAATTTTGTGACGACACCATGTTGTCACTAAACAATTTATCACTGATGTTGCCAAAAATCTAATATATAATTAGTGATATATTGTGTTAGGAACTATCAAAGAAGAGGAAGGAAGAAGATTGAAATATGAATCTGTATATTGTGTCTTAGAAAGAAATACAAGAGTTGTATATATACACCTAAGAAAAAAGACCAAATCTTTTCTGATGTGGAAGATCAGACAAAGCTGCAACCACAGAGCATACTAAGAAAATTGGCTCTTGATATCATAGGAAGAGGTGATATTAACATCAGAACCTCTAATGGAAACGTGTGGACTTTGAATAATGTCAGACATATTCCAACCTTAAAGAGAAACTTAATATCTATAGGGCAGTTGGATGATGAGGGACATTACACCACTTTTGGAGATGGACATTGGAAGGTAATGAAAGGTAATCTTGTTGTTGCTCGTGGAAAGAAGCAAGGATCTCTCTACATGATTGCAGATGAGGATATGATATCAGCTGCGAAGTTGGCAACAATTCCTCCTTATGGCATCGAGGCTTGGGCATATGAGTGAGAAAGGAATGAAGCTCATGATATCAAAAGGTAAAATACCTAACGTGAAGCATGTTGACGTTGGACCTTGCGAACATTGTATCTTTGGAAAGCAGAAAAAGGTTAGCTTCTCAAAAACAAGTAAGTCGTCTAAAGTTGAAAGACTAGAACTAGTGCATACAGATGTTTGGGGGCCAGCTTCAGTGAAATCCCTTGGAGGTTCACAATATTATGTAACCTTCATTGATGACTCTACAAGAAAGGTATGGGTTTATTTTCTTAAAAATAAATCGATGTGTTTTCTGTGTTTAAAAGGTGGAAAAAGGAGGTTGAGACTCAAACAGGTTTAAAGGTCAAATGTTTGAAGTCTCGATAATGGTGGAGAATATGACAAGTAGTCAATTCAAGGAGTTTTGTTCAGAGAATGGGATCGAATGATCAAGACAGCCCAGGAACACCGTAACAAAACTGTGTGGCGTAAAGAATGAACAGAACCTTGAATGAGAGAGCAAGATGTATGAGAATCCAGTCAGGATTACCCAAGGTATTTTGGGCAGATGCAATAAACACAAGCAGCCTATCTCATAAACAAGAGGACCATCAGTTCCTTTAGACTATAAGTTACCCGAAGAAGTATGGTCTCGAAAAGAGGTAAATCTTTCACATCCGAAAGTTTTTGGTTGTGCTTCATATGTTATGTTAGACTCTAATAGTAGAGATAAATTGGACCCTAAGGCAAAACGTTGTTATTTCATTGGTTATGAATCCGACATGTTTGGCTACGTGTTTTGGGATGACCAAAACAAGAAAATTATCGAAGTAGAAATGTTACTTTTAATGAAAACATGTTCTATAGAGACAGGATTGCAGAATCCGCAAATGTAAATAAACAACTAGAGCAAGTATCATTAGAAGAAATTTCGTAAAGTGATGTAGTCAACCGAAGGCGTAATATACAAGTAGAGCCTATGTCGAGCCTCGAGACGTAACTCGAACAAATAGTAGAGTCAGCAACTCCCGAAATCTTGGTTAGAAGATCTAGCGTAACAATTGTAGCACCACAAAGGTATTCCCCTTCATTGCATTATTTGTTGTTGATCGATGTCGGTGAGCCGAGCATTTTGTCGAGGCTATGCAGGGAGATGAATCTATTAAGTGGGAGCTAGCAATGGAAGATGAGATAAAGTCCCTTCGAAGAATAAAACATGGTCTTTAACCAAGCTACCGTAAGGAAAGAAAGTTTTGCAAAACAGGTGGGTCTATAGGTTGAAAGAAGAACCGGATGACAGACAAAAGATATAAGGCTAGACTCGTAGTGAAAGGGTTCCAACAAAGACAAGGAATTGACTTCACGTAAATTTTCTCTCCGTTGTCAAGATGACTACCATCGAGTTATCTTGAGTATAGTAGCTGCAGAAAATCTTCATTTGGAGCAGCTTAGATGTCAAAACCGCATTCTTACATGGGGATCTTGAAGAGGAAATTTTTATGACACAGCCAAAAGGTTTTGAAGTACAAGGCGGAGAAAATCTTGTATGCAAGCTTCATAAAAGTTTGTACGGATTAAAACAAGCGCCGAGACAATGGTACAAGAAGTTTAATGAGTTTATGAGAAACTCGGGATTTCGCAGATGTGAAGAAGATCACCGTTGTTATGTGAAGAAATATGTTGATAGCTATATCATTCTTGCCTTATATGTTGACGACATGTTGATTATTGGAGCTAATATGGCGTAAATTGACAAGTTGAAGAAACAATTGTCGGAGAGCTTTGAAATGAAGGATCTTGGTCCAGCCAAGCAAATTCTTGGTATGAGAATCTCCCGAGATAGAGATAAAGGTATTTTGAACTTATCTCAAGAAAAATATATAGAAAAATTGCTTAGCAGATTCAATGTTGGGAATGCTAAAACCAGGAATACACCTTTGGGAACTCACTTAAAGTTTTCAAAGAGGCAATCTTCTCAAACGAAGAAGAAGAAAGTCACATGTCTAAAGTGCCATATGCATCTCGCAGTAGGAAGCTTGATGTATGCTATGGTTTGCACCGCACTGTACATAGCACATGCAAGTGGGAGTTGTGAGCAGATTTCTATCAAATCCCGGAAAGGAGCATTGGGAAGGAGTGAAGTGGATATTCGGATATTTGAAAGGCACTTCAAAGATGCATTTGTCTTTCAAGAGAAGTAATCTCATTTTACAGGGGTTTTCTCGATGCGGACTTGGGAGGTGATCTTGACGGTAGAAAGAGCACAACAGAGTTATATTTTTACATTGGGTGGTACAGCTATCGGTTGGAAGTCTAAACTTCAAGGAAGGGTCTCTCTCTCAACCACCGAAGCGTAGTATGTAGCTATCTCGAAGCAGCCGAAGGAGATGATATGGTTGAAGAACCTTCTAAAAGAATTAGGAAGAGAACAAGATGGTTCTCCGTTGTTTAGTGACAAGTCAAAGTGCTATTTGTCTTGCTAAAAATCCAATCCTTCATTCCAGATGTAAGCACATTGAATTGAAGTATCATTTTATCGAAACCCGATAAATGATGGAGACTTGAGTTTGTTGAAGATTCCAGGTGCAGAGAATCCCGCCGATATGTTGACCAAGACTCG